CTGCTGGATATGGGCACCAGTGACCCACGCAACCCTGAAAAGGAAGAAGCGTGTACAGAAAATGGATGGATGGATAATTGAAGCTAGTTGACAATATAGCAGCAGCTTGAATTTCAAGTTAGCTAACAATAAAAAGACAGTTTGTACTTTAAGCTAACTAACAATATAAGGATGGTTTGTACTTTAAGTCAGCTAACAAATTGTTCATATTTCAAGCTAGCCAACTACAAAAGGATGGTTTGTACTTAAGGTTTGTACTTAAGTAGTTGTTAAGAAAATGATGCATTTTACTTCACGTTATCTGTCTGTTAATAAAGGGATGGTTTTGGTTTTGTACTTGAAGCCAGTTGATAATCCAAGGTTTATTTATTTTTTCTGGGTCAGGCACATCTAAAATGGAGGCTCACACAGCTTCTGATGATCTGTCAGAAAAATAAATCAAAGCTGTTAAACTCAGTGTGTAAAGTTTGACAGGTTGTCTGTTGGCTACATTTTACACTGAATACATTTATAAGGAAACTGTCAGACTAGGATTTAGGCCCACGTTACGTTAACGCTGTYGGTGTTGTGTTGAGTTTTGTTCCCCCGTTGAGGACTGATCCCCCACCAGCTCTGTTCTGTTTTCTCTTAATCTCTGTTGTTTTATGATGAGAGTAAAACACCAGACCTAAGGTCTAAATCTTTATTTGTCTCTCAGATGTCTGTCACGGCAGAAGAAGCCTCTGAGATCTGACAGTAACAGATCCTGACCCACCTGCAGTTCGTCTGGTTTATACTAATTTAACTGGTCTGAAAGTTTGGACTAAATTAAAGATTGTATTGCATTTAATGAAGTGATTTATTTTTTATAGAAAAGGTACAGAAGAGGATTAATGCCACAGTATTCTGACTTTTATTTCAAAATCTGAGATTAAAGTCTGACTTGACTTTAATCTCAAAATTTTGTCACGTTTTTAAAATTTGATCTCTGGCCTATAAATTATGATTTTATTCTTAAGACTTTTACTCTTTAAGAGAAAAAAGTGAGAATTCTGACTTTAATTTCAGAATTATTAGTTTTTTCCCACTTTGAATTATAAATTTATTCTCTGAATCAAAAGTTCTGACCTAATTCCCAATATATTAATTCTGAAAATACTGTTTTTCCCCTCAAAATATAATGAACAAAATGAGACTTTTGACTGTAATTCTTGAACTCTATTTTATTTATTTATTTTTTAGACTTTAGGTTTTAATCTCAGGATGTAATATTTGTGAAGAGAGGCTGTAATCCTAATTGTAATCTAACTTCCTGCAGGAGTTTCTCCTCAGTTTACTGAACTTTAAATCCTGACTTCATGCTGAGTGTTCAGTTTTTTTAAATTTAAACATCATTTTGTATTTTTAAAGCATTAAGTCAGTTTCAGTGTAAAATACTGAAAACAAAACGAATTAAAAATAAAACTGATTTAAAAAGAAAATATTTGTGACTAAATGAATTAAAGTAATCATCTTCCTGGTCCAGAACTGGTCCAGGACTCGGACCGGACTACCTGTCCGTTCTTGCAGAGGTCGGCCCACATGCTGGTTCCGTCGCCCCCCCTCATCAGAACATGGTAGGTGAAGAAGTAGATCCCGGACACGTGGCAGGTGAACTTCCCGGAGTTCGGGTCGTAGTGGTTCCCCAGGTTTGTGATGACGTCGTCGAACTTCAGCACCTCGTAGCCCTCGTGCGGGTTTTTCAGACCCACGTAGAAGGCGATCCGGGACACGCTGACCGTGGAGTTGGTTCCGTCCGCCTCCGCGTCTCCTGCCGGGGCTCCCGTCAGAGCCGGGAAGGCCACCTTGCTGTCCCCGCGCTCCCCCGGGGGTCCCCTCGGACCCGGGGGGCCCGGTTCACCCGGGGGACCCCTGGGTCCGGGCTTCCCGGGTCGGCCCGGCTCCCCGCGGGTCCCCTGCGCCATGACGGGCGGCAGCGGTGCGACCCCGTTCTGGTTCTGGTTCTGGTTCTGGCTCACCTCCATGGCGGTGGCCCCTCCCGGTTTGGGTCCGAACGGCTCGCAGACCATCCGGCACGTGCCCATCATCTCGTARTAATGAGCCGAGGTCTCCGGGGGTCGCAGGAGCAGCAGCGGGACGGCCACCGTCAGAACCAGAAGGACCATCGCGACAGCGGTCACCGCGAGCACCACGGTCCACTTCCTCCGCGCCGTTCGGGGACCGAAGGACGCCAGAAACCCCGCGGAGCGGCGCTGCGGGGGAATGGTGACCGGGAGGACCGGCAGGACCGGGGACTAGTTCAGAAAGTCCGCTGGAAGAGTCTCCAGCCGCTCCGCTCTGACTCTCCAAGCCCCCCGGGCTGCGTCTGGGACCGGGGAGGGGCGGGGGGGCGCGCGCGCACATCCGAATCCAGCTGCGTCCAGATGTTTATAAAGACCAGACCGGAAGAAGGATTTCAAAATAAAACCTCACCGGTAGCGAGAAAGTCTGTGAAATTTACTGAATCATCAAAAAAGTGATTTATTAAATCATACAAACAATTTATTTTCATCAAAAATGTGTATTTTATACATTTTAGGATTTTATGTAGTTTATTTACAAGCTAAAGTTTAGGCTATAACAGCTGGAACTGTTAGAGAAACAACAGAGCAGCTAACTGTCTAAAACCTGAAAGTAGAAGAAACTTGTTAGAAAACTGTAGCTCAAACCAGAAAAAACAACTTACTAACAGGCCAGCTCGGAACTAATAGTCACAAAAAAATGTAATGCAGCAGAAATTGAGCTAAAAACTTTAAAAACAAAACCAGGTGAGCAGCAGAAACTTAACTAAAGAACCAAAGCTAAAATGTAACAGGATTGTCTGAAGGTAGCAAAACAATAAATAAAAAAGGTAGCAAAATACTAAAACTATCAGGTGATAGCTAAAAGTAAGCTATTTAACATTAGTTTAAAGCTTTTTTTATTTAGAGTTTATTCATTAAAAAAACTAAAGATTCTTAATAAGAAATGCAATCACAARTAAAATGAAAGGTTACAGAAAGAAGAAAAACATCTTATAATATCAGCCTCTTTTTTAAAAAATTATACAAACAATAATAATCTTCAAATAACAAAAACAAAACAACAAAAATGTTAACTCCTCRAGCAATAATTCATACAAATACACATTATGCTATTTCATATTTCTTYARCACCAATTTTGATCATTCTCTTAAAAACACATCTGACATTTTTAACATCACTCTTCAGATTATTCCATATTTATTCCTTCTGGTTCAAAATTCAGGTTTCACAAACATCTCTGTCTCCTGGAGACTGTCACAAATCTAAAGTAGCAGAAAGTTAGCTAAAGTGACAGAAAAGTAGCTAATAGTTGCAAAAAATAAAAAAACTAATAGCTAAAGCTGAGTGCTAATAGTATTTGAAAGGTAAAAGTAGCAGAATAGTAGCTTAAAGCAGGAGAACAGTTGTTAAAAGTAGCAAAAGGCTAGCTAAATGTATAAAAAGCTAGCTAAATGTTAAAAGCACCAAAAGGCTGACAAGAAAAGCTAAAAGCAAAATGCCAACAAAGTAAAAAAGGTAAAATAAAGTTTTAATGGTTGACTAGAAGCTGAAAGTGCAAAACACTGACTCAAAGTCAAAAGTAGGAATGGGTAAAAGTAGCTACAGCTAAACAGACATTTTAGATCAGTAGCTAAAATTAAAAGTTTCATAAGATGATGACAGTAGAGCTTTCTTGATTAATTAAATCTGTCAATATTTTGGGGAAAATCTTTTGTAAATAAAGTGAAATATTTTGAAAAGGCCCAGCAGCAGCAGCGGTCTCTGAGCCGAACATCCTTAAACATAAAGTTAAATGAAATCTGTTAAAGGGCGAGCCTCATCAGAACGTCTCTCCAGTTCCTCCTGGAGGATCAGAGCTGCTTTTTTTAACCAAAGTTTCTTTGGGCCGTGAATCCAGGTCAAAGTCAGAGCCGAAGAAGTTTAAACTCAACAAAATGAGCAAACCTTTGACTCAGACCAACGTGGGGCACTTCAGGCTCACGTGGGTTTGTCTGGGGGCGGGGCCAGCTCACAATGAGGTGGTGGTGGTGGACGCCCCCAGTGACCGGGGGGACGTATTTGACGTCTTGTTTCATRAGGCTGAGGGGCCACAGGTTTGGAATGTTGATCGTCCTCTCAGATGAATATTGATGCGGAGCGAGCGGTGCGGCAGCTGCATGCAGATGTGTCTGACACGCCCCCCGTGGCCTCTCCCCGGTGTTTTCCTGCGAGGCCAGCCGTGCACTTTTACTAATTATCTGGATTTGGAGCCCCTCGTGTCGAACGATTCAACTCTTTCAGACACTCAGAAAAGGAGGCCGTGAAAAAGAAATGTCCTSGCAGCAGAGCTAAGCACCTGGAATTGGAGTTCAGGCTCCAGATCCACGACGGGGGCTTTAGAGCTCAAGGTTGGGGGGCTTAGTCGAAGCCCCCTCGTTTCCCGCCGCTCTAAACCAATTCCAGCTTGTGCTCGGCTCACCCGTCAACGTCCCCTACCCACCCACCACCACCGAATGCAGCGCCGGCTGCTCTTTGCTCAGAGCGAGAAAAGAAACACGACGTGGTGAGAAACGAACGTGTCCTGTCTTGTTTTTTACATTTTCATCTACAGCCGACGAGGAACAAACAGGATAAAAACAGAAACAGGAAGCAAGCAGAGCTCTGCTGCGTGACCTTTAGCGTGGGTCGCTACAGTGAGCGGTGACTTATGAACAACACACTGTCCACATTAATGCTGTGCAGCCGCAGAGATTATCTCGCCCTGCGGCGCCTTCATCGCTCACAACCGGAGCGCAGAAGTGAGGACTACTGAGCCAGTCCTCGTTAGATTTTAATCTGAAAAACTGACAGTGAAACGGTCATCTTCTGGATCAGACACYGTTTAAAACAAAAATGACTACGTCTGAAAGATGGTTTTTTTTTGAACGCCAGGTTCTTCTTCAGTCCAGACAGCAACATGATGTGCTGCATTTCAAAATTAAAAACTGGAACTTTGAAGTAATAAAGTAAAACAGGAAGTAATGACTTTAAAAATAAACAGCAGCTGAATCAGAGACGAGTTTTTAAACATGGGAAACTACAGAACATCAGACCATCATAATTCAGCTGGTCTGTCCACGTATGCATCCATCTGTCCGTCTGTCTGTCTGTCCACAGTCACAATGATGGATAGATGGACCTTTTATCATCCATCCATCCATCCATCCATCTGTCCATCCATCCATCCGTCCATCCATCCATCTGTCCATCCATCCRTCCRTCCATCCATCCATCCATCCATCCATCCATCCATCCATCCATCTGTCCGTCTGTCTGTCTGTCCACAATCACAATGATGGATAGACGGACCTTTTATCATCCATCCATCCATCCATCCATCTGTCCATCTGTCCATCCATCCATCCGTCCATCCATCCATCTGTCCATCCATCC